GAGCTTCCATAGGGCACTGGGGCTGTACCTGGGGTCAAGGACAAGCGAGTGACCACAGGCAGCCAGGCACACTGAGCCCCACCAGAACACCAGAGCCACAAAATGCAAGGCTTTGAGCGCCCCCCAGTGGCCACAGGTAAGTAGTGCTTATAGCCAGAAGCTAGAGCCCCCTCCACTGCGACCTCCTTCTCAGTAAGCAGTTGAGAATACTGGGACCACACCCCGAAAACTAGGAAATGGGGCTTTGCTTAGTGGGCACCAAAGCCCTTGCAACCTCTACCCTGCAAGGAACAGCATGGCCGGGGCTGCCTGAGGTCGGAGTCAGGGTCTGCTACCCCTGACGGTCACAGGGGCTCTGACCATACCGCCACTTGCTGGGCTTCTGCAGGAACCTGTAAGTCCTGCAGTGGTTCTCAACCTTCCTAAGGCCGCGACCCTTTAATACAGTTCCTCATGTTGTGGTGACCTCCAACCATAAAATTATTTTCGTTGCTACTTCATAACTGTAATTTTGCTACTGTTATGAATCGTAATGTAAATATCTGATATGCAGGATGTATTTTCATTGTTCGCGACCCACAGGTTGAGAACCGCTGCAGATGTCCTGACTCCAGGACAGAATGATAAACTGTGATGGAGTTTAATGGCTGTATTGTTATGTCAAAAAGACCCTGGACCGGAGTCCCCACAGTGGGACCCTGAACCAGAGGCCACCCCTTGCTAGGACTCAGCTCTCCCATCTGCACCCGAGGGACTGAACTCTGACCTCTCTGGTTCTTCCCAGCCCTCGCGGCCACAGCTCTAAGACTTTAAACGCAATCATTGTGAGCTCTGTGCAGGGCAAGCCACCTTCCATCCCTTCCTTGCCCTCCAGGCTTTAGGTGCATACATACATGTTACAGAACCCACATGTGCACTCATACACACACGCACACACCCACTCCCTGTGTGACAGCCCATTCGTCTGGGCCCCTCACCAGCTCTCGTGCTGCCAGGCCAAGGGGGATGAAGGCCCTTGGAGGTCCCGATCCAGCTGGAGCCGAAGGCAGGACACTGGGTAAAAGTCATTGAGACTGAGGGGGCCCCAAGGGTCGCCCGCGCCTGGTCAGTATAATAAGGGCAGTGACAACCATTCAGATGGAGGTAACAAGCACCAGGCTACTTGTGTGGCTGATCCCACCTGGCCTCCACAGCCAGCCTGTGCGGGGGGCAGTCTTCATCCCCATTTTACAGGTGAGGAAACTAAGGCTCCAAGAGGCGAAGTAACAGGTCGTCTCACAGCTGGGTCTCAACCCCAGGCAGCCTAACTCCCCAGCCCATCCCCTCGCCCCTCCTGCAGGAGGTGACCCTGCCCACAGCCCCAGCATCTAACCAGGGACTTTCCCACACCTGCCCCCAGGCCTGGGCCTGCTCCTGGGCCTGCTCAGAGATGAGGCAGACAGAAGGGATCCAGGTAGCCCTGCTCAGACACGGGACTGGGCAGGGACAGTGGCGGTCTGGCTCCTCTCTGAGTCCTGGGTCCTGCTCAGTGCCTGGCACCTTAGAGCACGGAATACATCTTTCCTGAGTGAATAAATGAACAGATGAATGAATGACTTCCATGGCCACACTGCTCTGGACCTCAGTTTCCCCATCTGTCAGCTGGAGGTTGAACTCTGAGGCCCCTCTGGCTCTGACAGTCCAGTTAGTGACCTGGTGGCCTTGGGTTCCTCAAGCCTTCTCAGCTGCTGGCCCCACAGGTCCTCCAGGACTCGGCCAAATCCCAGGCTAATATTTCTGGCCCCGCCCTCTTGCGAGGAGACAAAGCGTGGGCCAGGAATGCCAGTTTTATCCAGTCGTGGTCTCAGCCAAACCCAGGCAGGACGGTAACCGCTCATCCTATACCAACTCCAAGCCCAGGATAAGGGTCTGGAACATTCACAACCCTTGACCCTCCCAGCCACCAGGAGGCGCCAGCGGTGGGTTCTGCAGGCACAGTGCTCCTGCTCTGTGCTCGGCTTGGGCTGGGATGGAGTCGGGGTGTCTGAGGGGTATCCAAGGCCATGGTGAGTCTGGAGGAGGTCGCACAGCTCAGTCATGGATAAGCCGGATGGTCCCAGTCCCAGCCACAGGCAGCCCAGGTGAGAGGCGACATGGAAGTGTAAGCTCCCTGCTTGTTCACAGAACTAATTCTGTCTCCCTCTACAAACCCTGCGAGGGCAGGGTCACATCTGCCTTGCTGGCCGCTGTACCCATGGTGCATAGTAGGTGCTCAGTAAATATCTGGTGCACAATGTTTGCAAGGGGGAAAGGTATCTCAACCTTCTCCTCCAGGCCAGACGCTGCCAGCTCTGCTCGGAGAAGCCAAGGCCCCCTGAGTCTGGAGAGGGCTCGAGGCCCGGACGGAGGACATTAGGGTTCAGGTCTCAGCTCACCCCTGAGACTCTGGGAAGTGGCGGGGGGGGGGGGTTTTTTTTGGTGGTGGGGGGGGGGGGGGGGGGGGGGGGGGGGCGTTCAATGGTGCCCAATGGCCCTTCTGGCTCTGACAAACGGCCAGTCTCAACCCCAGGCCGAATGCCAGTGGGTAGAGCCAAAACCCCCACTGGGTTGAATTGTGTCCCCAAAAATTCATGGAGAGTTCTAACTCCCAGGACCTCAGCCTGTGACCTTATTTGGAGATGGGGCTGTTTGCAGATATAATTAGTTAAAATGAGGTCACCCTGAAGGAGGGGGGGCCCTGATCCAAGGTGACGGGTGTTATTATAAAAGAGCGAAACATGGACACAGACACGCACTCAGGAGAACTTCGTGTGAAGAAGGGAGGCAAGCTGCCGCGGCCAGGGACCACCGAGCTGGGGGCCGAGCTGGGGTCAGGCCCGGGACAGCTCCTTCTTTGGCATCTTCCTAGGCAGCGAGGCCCTGACAGCACCCTGAGCCTGGACTTCTCAACTCCAGAACCATGAGTCAGTGAATTTACAGTGTTTAAACCCCTCAGTTTGTGGGGTCTATGAGCAAACTCATACGCCACCCCCTTCCCTCCTCCCAACCTGGGCGCCCAAACTGATGAGTCAGGAACCAGGAAGGGAAGAGCCAAAGGCGGCCCAAACTGGGACCAGGAGGCCAGAGTGGGACCACCGTGGCTCACAGTATTTGGTGGGGCTGCGGGGTGGAGTCCCTCCAGAACCCCTAGTCTACTCCCCGAAGATCTGCGCCCATATTTGCATTCACAGGCACGCTCCGATGGTAAGAATTTTTTCCCTCCCTCTTCCCCCTTTAATTAAAAACTATAAATGCCTTATCAAAAGCTAATTAAAAATACCAACACAGTGCCAAGTGGCAAAAAAAAAAAAAATAGCTCAGTACAAATATCCGTTTATAACCCTGCAACAGGCTGTGATGACGCAGCAATTACAGGCTCCTGGGAGGGAGCGGGAGGAAGGGCTGGGCAGACACGGGACTCATCAGCCCTCTCGGGGGCACCGGGGGCAGCACCCTCTCCCCACCCCCCATCCCCCGGCTCTTGTCATCATCCAACTAGGAGCTGAACAAGCCACAGGGGACCGGGGACCCCAGCACCGGGTGGCTGTGCTCCAGCGCATCCCCTCCCAGTCTCAGCACTGGGTCTGTACAGAGGAGGCAATTCTCAAGGGCTGTGGAGACAATTAAGATAATGGCCAACATCAAGCACTGCGCCGTGTTTCTGGAACACAGCCGCTCACACTGTTGGCCCTGCCCTCCAGCGTCATAATCGGGGCCGTCCACGGCTTGATGAAATCAGAGACTCAAAAGCCAGCCTCACTGGCATCCCTGGGCCAGGCCCTGCGCTTTGCCTTCACAGGGTTGTTTGACCTGCCAGGACCCGTAAGTGGTGGGTTTGGCCATTATTGCCATTTTAGAGACGAGGAGACAGGCGTGAGGAGGAGCAGTGGCTCACCGATGGACACAGCTGGCATCAGGGCAGAGCCTGGCCCGGAAGCCAGGTCTGTGCGAGCCCAGAACCCCTGCTCTTAGCCACTAGAGACTCCCTCCAATGGGCGGAGCTACCTGTGCAGGAGTGAGCACCCCGTTCCTATGGGGACCCCGATGGGGATTAGGGATCTCCGATCCCCCCCACCTCTGAGATGGCCTGGTTCGTTTCTGAGCTGCCACCTTGGCCTGCCTCCCACAACCATCTGGCACACGGTCCCCAGATGGTTCCCAGCCCCACATCCTCACCGCTGGTCCGAGGGTAGGCGGCGAGGGTCCCGTCCTGCAGGCCGGCAAACAGGTGGAAGGGGCTGTGTCGCAGGCAGAGCACGGGCTGCAGGCCTGGGCTCCTGCAGGTCGCCAGGCACTGGGTGCCCGTGTCCACGCTGCTGTAGATCAGGATGCTGCGGGGAGAGGCCCAAGTGACTCACTCAGCCCCCCATATGCCCTCCAGGGCCCCCTCTGTGGGACCAGGCCTGCGTTCCACCAAAGAGGAGCTCAGATTTTCCACGGGTGGCCTTTGAGGATGGGGTCCTCCCTGGCCTCTGTCTCATGGAAGACCCGGGGGGTGGGGTGGGGGGGTTCCAGAAGCAGCACAATAAAGGTGCTGATCCCTGGCCGTTTTTGCTCAGTGGTTAGAACATCGGCCCTCGGACCAAAGGGTCCGGGTTTGATTCCCAGTCAAGGGCGTGTACCTGGGTTGCAGGTCTGATGTATGCAGGAGGCAACTGATCAATGTGTCTATCTCACATCCATGTTTCTCTCCCTCTCTCCCTCCTCCCTCCCTTTCACTCTCTCTAAAAATCAATGTGAAAAAAGTATACTCATGTGAGGATTAACAAGGTGCTGACCTGAGTTTTCAGGGTCACAGACCTGAGTGTGAATCCAGCCAAGCCACTTTCCACCTGATGGACCCCAAAACAGCCTCCACGCACTGCCCAGTCCTGCCCTCCTCCCCGGGCCCCTCACCTGCCATCCTGGAGCCCCAGGCAGATGGTCGGATGCACCGCAGAGGAGGGGTCAGCAGCCGTGTGGCTCTCGTCTTTGTCTCCATCCCCACTCTCCCCTTCCTCCGGCTCAGGAATGTACTCCATGCAGAGCACGGGGGCCGCCAGCGGGAAGGACTTGACCGTGCGGGGTGAGGGCCGGTTCAGGGAAAAGATCTCGACCTGGCCTCCTGCGCCCTCCTGACCTCCCCCAACCTGGGGCAGAGACCCAAAGAAGCTGTCAGGGAGAACCGTGAGAGCAGAGGCGGAGCTTAGCTCTACCCTCTGTCCCAAACTTCTGCTTGCCACTAATAACTGCGAGAAGCAGCCGCCTCCTGCCACATGCAGCCTGCTGTCACCGAAGGTCACTTGTCCCCAGCCTCCAAGGCAGCGAGTTCGATTCAGGGCGCAAAGGAAACCAGCTAAGGAGCTAAGGTGGACTAGATACCCAGTCAGCTTTCCATCTCCTTGTCTTTAGGCTAAATTTCAGCCAACAAAGAGTTAACATACACTCTGCCCCTTTAAAATGTCCTATCTGCCTGTTCTCTGTTTTACTTTAGTGTCTAGCACATGGTATACAGTATACTTGCTGAGTGGATGGAGGGATGGATGGATGGATGGATGGATGGATGGATAAATGGATAATGGATGGATGAATGGGTGGATGGATAGATGGAGACATGGATGGATGGATGGATGGATGGATGGATAGATGAATAGATGGAAGGATGAATGGAGACATGGATGAAAGGATGGATGAATAGATGGAAGGATGAATGGATGAATGGATAATGGGTGGATGGATAGGTGGAGACATGGATGGATGGATGGATGGATGGATACATGGATACATGGATGCATGGATATATGGATGGATGGATGGATGAATGGATAATAGATCATGGATGGATGGATACATGGATGCATGGATATATGGATGGATGGATGGATGGATGGAGGGATGGATGGATGGAAACACCCTGTGCTAGAAACAGTGAAGAACAAATTGCCCTCAGAAGAGTGTCTATGGGAGGCACAATCTGCACTATAAGAAGCAAGGGGAGGTCACCTTTTTGAATCCAGGGAAGCTTTGCCAGGAGTCCCGAGAGCAGAAAACTGGGCTGGGATCTCTGAGAGATGGGCAGTAAGCAGCCCTGCTTCCTGACCGCGGTGAAGACATGCCACCCAGGCACACGGCACCGCTCCCGCTTATTTCCTGCACGGCCTGTGGCCTGTGCAAGAGTCATGCTCACTGATTTGTCCCTGGTTTTCTGTTGTCCCTGGTGAGGTGGCTGGCACCTGCCAACTCCAAGCCCAGAGCCTGGGACAGGGTCCCATTAGAACTTGCCAGGTAAAGTGTACAAAATGGGCCAGCAGGCAGGTGGCTTTCTCCAGCACCCCTCCCAAGGGCTTCTCTCCCTGTTCCTGTCCTGAGGCCAGAGCTCCTGGCTGGGGACAGGGGATACTCACCCAGAGGTAGCCCTGTGGAAGGGAGGTGCTGACCGCCGAGAAGCCCAGCAGGGGAGAGCTGACAGGACTGTGGACCAGAGCCCCAAGCTGCGGAGACAGAGGTGACACGTGCAGGGTTAAGTGTCGGGGTGCCCGAGAGGCCAGCGTCCGGCTATCGAACCTTCGTGTGAACCACCTGCAGGGGTCAGGGGTCATTAAACCTGCAGATTCCCAAATGAGGATCCCTGAGGATGGGCCAGGAGAGCGGGAGGTGTCCAGGATCTTCGGGAAGTTCCTAGGCACCCACATTTGACCATCTCTCTCCTAGAACCTCTGGCTGGAAGGGGCCTGGATGATACCCTGGGACCCCAAGGACTTTTCCAACTGACCACCTCCCATTTAAGCTTCGTTGAAAACCACTAACACCCACTCCACTCCCTTTACTTTACAGATGGGGACAATGAGGTCTGCAGAGGACACAGGATGGCCTAGGCCACAGGGAAGGTGAGGGGCAGGGCCTGGCCTGTGCCCACCTCCCCCTCCGCCTTCCTGCACGCCTCCAGAGGAACAGCGCAAGGACCCCCAGATCATCAGAACCACCCTGCAGGCGAGCCCCCAGGACACAGGGCCGGGTGGCTTGTGTGGGCTGCCGGCAGGGGCTGTCACCAAGAGCCACCAGCGACTTGTTCCTCCTGCAACTTCTTCCCCCAAATCCATGCCAGGTGGGTCTCTGGGGCCTGTTTCCTGATCTAGATCCTGCAGTCTGGCCCTCTGGCCAGGACGGCAATGGAAGGAGGTGGCCTGGCCCTTTCAAGGGCTTGGCTTTGCCCCTCTGAGGAATGCGGCGGCGGCTGGACCTTTTGCCGGGCAGGTGCTGCCCTCTGCTGGTGCTGAAGGCCCTGGCCAGCACCAGCCCTGCTGGAACATTCTAACAAAATACCTAATGGCCATAGGTGAGGGGACCAAAGAGGTCACCTCCTCCAGCCCCTCATTAGGAGTCAGTAACCGTGAAGTTCGGGGAAAGGGAAGGGGGAGGGGGACATGACTGGTTCCAGGTCACACAGCACGTCAGTGGGAGCGTCAGGGCTGGAATTCAGTTTTGCTCCAGTGCTGGGCCCCTCTTGGTTGAATTCTACCCAGAGACCAAGCCGGAGGCCTTAGCACGCTCACACTCATGGCCCAGCCTCTCCTCCTGACTCCTGGGCTGCAGCCTCGCTGCCTTCCCTGGGGCGCCTAGGGTAGGCCTCTGTGCTGCTCTAGCTATTTGGAATATTCTTCCCCTGGGCCCTCACCAGGTTGCAACCTCCTTGCCATCCGGGTCACAGTTTAATGCCACCTCCTCCGAGAGGCCCTCTCTGTTGGCACCATCTCTGTATCTATTAGATCTGATTTATTTTCTTTAACACACACATCTCTCCTTTCTATTTCCCTTTGTTTGCCAGGGTTTTTCCTCTCTCTCTCTAGATTGAATGCTATATGAGGGTGTGTTGCATGTTTTGATCACCACTATGATTCCCAGTGGCCAGGACAAGGCCTAGCACACAGTAGGTCCTCAACAATGATAGGCAGCTTGGACGAATGAATGGATGGATGGATGAAGGAACGAATGAATAAACTGACATCTCACGGCTATGTTCTTTCAGCTACTTAGCACCCCAATCTGCAGTCCTAGCCACTTAGCTCTTGGGACTTATTTACCTGGGCCTGGGTCCGAGCTTGCGCTCCCCTCCCCCGAGCTCAGATGACCTCATCTCCCTGAGAGGACGATGGGCAGCAGTTGCTCCAGAAAAAGGACAGGTGACCAGAGGAGGTGATGACCACAGGTGTGGGAACCAGATAGAACGAGGTTCTCATTCCTGGACCCATCCTTACCGGCTGTGTCATTTTTAGAAAGCCATCTGTCTGAGCCCCAGGTGGGCCTTCCCTGTGAAATAGATCTAGAAACACCTACTTATCGGGGTCTCTAAAACAGTAAAACAAGAGAGTGACGGCCGAGCAGTGACAGGGGAGCACAGTAGGTGCTTGACGAATGGAAGGCGTGATGGCTATGAAAGGTGTGTTGTCGTCCCCTCAGGCCCTGCCCACATCAAAGCCCCGGCTCCTGCCTGGCTCCAGCCCACAAAGGGTCCAACCCACAAAGCCTGGCACGGCCGCTCGGGCATATTCCAGCCTATTCTGGGCTGGAGTCAGGCCATCAACGGATGAGATCACTGCTATTTGTTAGCTCAAAATAATGGAATTTTCCGTTCACTTGACCCATGGAGGGCATCTACCCCCACATTGTGGGTAGGACAGCTGACGCCCAGAGCAGTAAAAAGGCTCAACCAACTCCATCGGGAAAAAGCTGAGGCGCTGGGTCTGGAGCCGGGGCCTCTCCCGCTGTGGGCACAGCCTGGAAACGCTGGTTCTCCCAGGAGAAGGTGAGCAAGAGCTGCCCCTCTCACCTGCAGGCTGAGGCCCCGCGAGGAGAAGGCGGGGATGCAGCAGGCCAGGGTTGGGCACCAGAACGGGGCTTTGCTCTTCTTGTCCTCGTCCGGACATCGCCAGCCTGGCTGGTTCTCCTCTCCTACAGCAAAAGGAAGGAGGTGGGTGAAGCAGGTCGGAGTGCAAGGACCAAGCAGGCTGGGAGCAGTCCTGGAGCCCAGGGAGCCCCCGTAGGCCCCAGAGGTCCGGCCTGCATGGCGGCCTAGACAGACCCCGCCATTCACTCGCCCCCCTGACCCCCAGGCCCAATCTTGCCCATCTAAGATGAAATCTGGCCCCACTCTGTGGTCATGGCCGTGGGTCCCCAGCCAGGAGCCCAGACACCTAAGGTTTGTCCCCCCCTTTTGTCCAGCCTCTTGCTTAGCAACCTTGTGCAAATCACCCCAACTCCCTGAGCCTCGATTTCTCCACCTATACAACAGGGACTATGAAAATGCCTTCGTCCTGCAGCTGTTGTGAGCATCCAGTGAAATAAAACATGGAAAGGGGTTCGGGAAGCGCTAAGATGCTGGACTCAGTCCAGGCCCAGCTGCCTTGCCCTTAGCTTCAGAGAGGGGAGAGGGTCCGAGACCAGCAAGCAGACAAGGTGATTTCCGATTGTGATGACGATGTAAGTTCAGCTGCGTTTACACCTGACGGTGAGGACGATGGTGCTGGGGAAGACTCTTACTCTGCCTGCCTTTGAAGTCACCCTGAAACCTCCAGGTACCCTTGTCAAGCTGGGCATAGAAGCCCCGGGGACCTGTTACAAGTACAGACACCCAGGCCCAAGCCCAGACCCTCGACTCACGTTTGGAGACCTCTGCGCTCAGGATCATCCACTGTACCAGTGGTTCCTTCACATGGGTCAGGGCTCCCTCACCTGCTGCCGCCTCCAAGAAGTCCTCCATGACCACCCTGGCTACCGTGGCTCCCTTCTCTCAGGGGAAAAGCCCCTGACTCTAAAGACCCTGTCAGACTTCTCAAGTAGCCTTCACCACAATCTCAAATCACCGTGTCTACTTTCTTGTTTATAATCCGTCTCCATGTGTCTCTAGAATGTAAGTTCAGGGCAGCCAGATCCAGGGTATCTCCTTCGTCACTGTCTCCCTGGCCCTCAGCACACTACCTGCACAATTAGTGCTCAGCAAACATGGGTTGAAAGAATGAATGCAAGGAGTGAGCAAGTGAGTGGGTGAGCAAACCTCCATTTCTTCCAAAGAGTCCTCCCTGCTAAGGACCCCATCCTTACGCTCCACATGGCGACACTCCATATGACGACTGCCTTCCCGGGACCTGGACAGCAGGGGCACGGTACAGCTAGGACACCCTACTGTGTGTCCACGCATCAGGCACACACTGAGTGTGCTATGCGCGTGTCCCCTGGCCTTGTTTTCACACGGACCAAGCACAGTCAGATAATGATTTTCACTTCATGGATGATGAGATAGACACTCGGGGATTATGCTGACCAGGTCACAGGCAGGCCTACATGGCCGAGCCCAGATGGGGACCAAGGACTGTCTGACCCAAAGCCCAGGTTCTTTGCACTAAACCAGGCATTCTTCTAGCATCTAGCCTCCTACTGACAGCCATGAGCATTATTGACCCTTGACATGGTGACGCTGGACAATGAGGAGGAGGCTCAGCCCCAGGGAGCCAGAGGCGCTGGGACACCCTGAGTGAGAGGGGCCACTTAGCACAGTGACATGGAGCTGAGGGGAGCCGAGAGCTCTGGAGGTGGGAGGAGAGGTCATCGACGCCAGCCCTGGAGCAGTGCTGTTGGGGAGGGGAAACGGGACATCAGTGAAGGGCACGGCGTCTGGGTTACACAAGCTAAGTCCCAGGTCGTCTGTGCAGCATGGCGCCTACAGCTAGCAACTCCGTATGATGTGCTTAAAGATCTGCTCAGAGGGTCTTACACGAATTGTTCTTATCACGAAGAGTAACAGCTAAGCGGGCAGGAGGGGGTTTGGGGATGGATTTGTTATGTGGCATAGACTGTGGGATGGGCTCACGGGCACATACTAATCTCCAAACTCCTCAAGTCGTGGGCATCCGACATGCACGCCTGTTGTGTGTCAATCGTGCCTCACGAAGTGGCTTTTGAGAAAATGCCATTGCCCCAGAGGAAGGCGGCGCCTGAGTGTCGGTCACGGCGAGAGAGCTGGACACGGTGGCAAGTGCGGATGTTCCCGGAGACGCAAATGTCAGGCACAACCAGCGCCTGCCCCACCCGCTCTCCCGCCCAGCGCACCCACTCCCTCAAGCAGCAGAGTCGGCGGGCGGTGAGCTCACTCCCTACACGGCCCTCTGCCCCGCTGGGCCCCGGAGACAAAGTCCATCAAACCTGGTTCCTTCCACTGAGGAGGCGAGGCCACCAAGGAAGAGACAACTACAGCACAGGGTGGGCATCACCATAGTAGGACTGCGTGCACCACACTTCACGCTGTCTCCTTTCATCCTCCTGGCCGCCAGGGGGGGCAGTGTTTCCATCCCCATTCTGCCCTGAGCAACAGAGGCCGGGAAGACAAAGGCAGGGCCCAGAGCCCGGGAACTAAGCCAGGGGGCCCTTCTTACAGCGCCCACCACGCGGGGTGTTCGCCGAAACAGCCCACCCACTGGGGGCAGCGCCCACTTTCTTGGCGGGAATGAAGACTTCGAGATCTGAGCGTGCCCCTGCTCTCAAGGAGCTTACAGTCACGCAGACCCTCCCCTCGGCCAGACGGGAGCCCAGCAGCACCCCCAAACCCCACTCCTGGCGGGAGGCTTCCCAGAGCTCAGTCCTGTGAACATAACTCGCCCCAATCACGCATCCCCCTGAGCTCCACTCCCCTCCCCTCCCCCAGGCACAGCCCATCGAGTCGTGGCGATTGGTTAGTGTACATATTTCTTAATGATCTGACCTTCTCCTTCCAGATGGTGCCGTCCCGGCCTGTGCCTGGGAGCGTTAAAGGAAAATGGAGTTGCTGCTTCCCATCTGCCGCTGCCATTGTCCCTGTCACAAAACCGGCGCGGCTGAGACCGAATTAGAAGCTGTTGCTGCTGAAAATGGAAGGCCCACCTGGGATAAGTGACATGAAGGACTGGCACCGACGTCAAAGCTGCGATTTCCAAGTGACGTTAAGTGGGGGGCTTGTTTGGCGCCCAGCTCTGCAGCGCCCACGGCACCGAAGAG